GGCTTACTTCACTTAATATAATTTTTTCCAAGTCTTTCCATTTCCTAACAAATGGGGCAATGTCATTCTTTCTGATGGAGGCATTGAATTCCATTGTGTATGTATACCACATTTTCTTGATCCATTCATCTACTGAGGGGCATCTGGGTTGGTTCCATATCTTAGCTATGGTAAATAATGGCCAGCCCCTTTCTTAAGCAGAGCTGTTAGAGACACCAGCGCAGAGGCTGTGTCAGGCGTGGGTGACACTCCCTTATTTCAGTCCTAGGGGCGAGGACCCCTCGTCACTATTTTTTACAGGATCTCTGGTTTCCCAATGACCTTGGAGCAGGCCCAGAACACTCTAGGCTGGCCCATTATTGTGACCCTTGGGGTCTTGGCGTCCTGAATAATCCCCGCGCCCCCACTCCCTCTCTCTTGCGGCCTCTCAGAGCCCCTCGGGTGACCCAGCCAGCCCAGATGTGGCATTAGCGGAGGAGCGCGACAGTGACAGATGTGGCAGGGTCTCTGATCCTGGCCGTGTGTCTGTCTACCTCTGTAGCCGTGCAGCACGAGCGGGGGCCTCGCACGTCCACCATCCGCAAGCAGGTGGCCCTGTACTTCCGCGGACACAAGGAGGAGAACGGAGCGGCCGCGCACTTCCCGTCGGCCGCGTTGCCCGCTCCCGCCTTCTTCACGGCGGTCACACAGCTGGAGCCGCACGGCCTGGAGCTGGCGGCCGTGTCCACCACCCCCGAGCGGCAGACCCTCGTGAGCCTGGCGCAGCCCACGCCCAAGGTCGGTGATCTCGCCAGGAGGCCCCCCCGAGAGACCGGGGCTGGGCCGTGGAAGGAGGAGGATGCGTGCAGATGGGCTAAGCGAAGAGAGGGAGGACTTCCCGGGGGCCAGCCAAAGATGCTTGTACTGGAGAGTACAGCAGACTCGACCTCCGAGAGGCCCAAAAGGGGGGCTCCCAAGCTCATCTCCCAGAAAGTTCTACTCGTGGGTGGTCATGGGTAGATGGGCGGGAACTCTGCTTAAACTCAGAGGGCAACCAAGTTCCCCAGAGGCCAGAAGACAATAGTTGACACCTGCTGGAGGGAGGCACTCCAGGAGCCCTAAATCCTTGGGGTCTTCCATCTTGGGTAAAGCAGTGGAGTCCCAGTAACAAGGAGAGAGCAATGCGGAGCGCGCACTGTTAGGACCATGTGCAGAATCTGATTTCATCTCCCACAAGCTCCTTCCTGGCTTGGGAGCCTGGTGGATTTGCACCAGGATTGAGCTCCTACGAGTAGGGCCACAGTGTGCAACAGTCATCTGGGAAGGCTGCCACCTAGGGACTAGCCTCAAGACCTCCAGCTGATTCTCCCCCAGGGCCCCCACTCTAGGGGGAAAAAGGGTCCAGGATTTCCTCCTGAGGACCAGCTGCAGCCCCACACTGCAGGGAAGCCAAACACCTGGGCACAGACACCCGCACAATATTTAATATTGCTTTCTTACCCTTGATATGTATAATAAGCTCGGGAAAGTAGTGTTATGAATATGTTGTCAGTTATGAATGGGAATGCTCTGTGAATGATTAAGATGTCTAATTGAAATATTTCCATAATATACTAATCCTTTCTAAAAATACTCATATGCATATTTGTGTTTGGGATGCCTATTAATTTATACTTTTTCACATCTATTTTTATTTACACAAACGCAAGCAGCTCTTGTCTAAATTGGGAGCCAGGCCTGGTACTTGGCTCAGCCCAAGGAAATTTGCTGCAGGGACTAGAAAAGCCAGATACCTCTCAGGAAGTCAGAGGTCCCAACGGATACAGATGGGCCTGCCCTAACATTCAGTATTTCCCAAACTCTAAATAATGCTTGTTCCCTCTCCCCCACCCCCACACACCCAAATTTCTTTGTACCCTTTCCCCTTATTTACTTAGGAAATTGAAAGGCTTTGGCTCCTCTTGCAAAGTTGTGGTTGCCCCATTTTCACATGTCTGTCCCTCTTTTTTTCTCAGTATCCCCATGAAGTGAATGGGACTCCCATGTATCTCTATGAAGTGGCCACAGAGTCTGTGTGTGAATCAGCTGCCAGGCTTCTGTTTATGAGCATCAAGTGGGCTAAGAGTGTGCCAGCTTTTTCCACATTGTCTTTGCAAGACCAGGTAGGTCCAACGGGACACTGAGGTCCTGGGGGAAGGGAATTAGAAATGAAGCATTAACGCTCAGCCTTATAAAACTCATTATTACTAAGATAAATCCAAGGCAGGCATGCATTTTTACAGCAATGAGGAAGCTGTTTATTTTTGCATCTTTCAAAAGCTTCAAAATATCGACCTATGGAGTCATTAGTAAGAAATGCAATTATGTTATTTCAGGAAAGCTGGATCTGGTCTAGGGAAAACATATTCAAAAGAACATGATCCCCTTTTTTAGTTTAATTGAAACATCAAGTTTAATCTCAAATTTAAAACAATCTTAATGCTTCTTAAAACTTTAGGTAAATTAGATGTGGTTGTTTGGGCCAATAATCCTAGTTACCCAGGAGGTTAAGAAAGGAAAGATCATGGCTCAAGGCTAATCTGAGCAGAAAGGTTTGTGAGACCTTATCTTGAAAACAAAAGTCAGGACTGGAGGTATGCCTTAAGTGGTTGAATGCTAGCCTAGCAAGCAGGAAGCCCTGAGTTCAAACTACCATCAAAACAAACAAAAAAGAGAAAAATGTTGATAAAATGATGTTTTCTTTAGAATTTTTAATTAGTATACATTAGTTGTACAAGGGAAATTTCACTGTGCATATGCAATGAATGTATCTCAACCATACTTAAGCCTCTGTCACTCTCCCTTCCTCTCTCCCCATTTTTGAAACAATTTCAACGTTTGTTTTTTTTTGGGGTCCAGTCGTGGGGCCTGAACTCTGGGCCTGGG